TGGATGATGGAGCACCGATATGAGCTTTCAGGACTTGAAGCTTTTCCATTCAGTCCTAATGGAAATCTCATGTCCTCATATGAGCCTTGTATGGATCCCGTGTCCACACAGAAGCATGCGTGGTTAAGGCAAAGACACCCGTCGGGCCAAAGTATCATCACACGAGTCATTTTCGCCTTTCTTATGAAGAGAGGACGTGTTGAAAGAGGAGAGGTAAAGGAAGCATAGATGAAGCTGAGAAGGGGGGGATGTCGGGGGAGCGATGGGTGGGGGAGTAGAAGGAGAGGGAGTGTGGGATGGAAGTGTAGAGGGTGGGGTGGGGTCTGAAGCACACGACTGGCAATCGTCCAGTCACATAACTCCTTACGTCTAATTACCCCGATGCTTCACCCAATTAGATGGCTCCTTATGTTTTTTTTTTTTTTACAAACTGCTGCTCAAGCAGCCAAATCCTCACGGATGAGGTTGCCAAGGAAACTGCTACGGGTGACAGCTGTTTCCTTGGTGATTTGCTGCAGGCCTAATGGTGTCTGGGTTTGCATGGGAAGACCTTGAAATGATGTTTATGGATGCACATGCGCGCACATTTAAGCAGTTGTAGCTCCTCTGTGAGCAGCCTGAGCTCGATAATGTTTGTGTTTCAAAGAATATCTGTTGACTGTGCGACTGTGTGCTTTGTCTTGAAGAATTATACAAGGAGTATATTATTCAGTGCATGTGGAGCAGACAGACAGTAGATGTTATAGTCAGACATGAATCAGCTGGAATAACTTCTCTACTTGCCATTTAAACAGCGACCGCCATTATGGTTTAACTCTGTCCTCAGATAATTAGGACTATTAAGACATCATTTTTAGAAATGTTTCAGGGTGTTGAGCTGTCAAATTGCTGGAGCTGATTCGCCGTCATTTCCAAAACCACCTCTTCTTCGCTCACAACCTTTCAAAACTGCCCTTGCAATTATGGGAAAAGGCTGGATGTGTGGAAGCTCACACAGGGGAGGGTGTTAGAGGAGAAATGTTGAGCTGCTGTGAGGTGGCAAAGTTCACCAGGTCTGAGCTGGTAGCTGTTCGAGCAAAGAGTGCTGTGAATCAGGACGGGAGCGGTGAGGAAAGTGGGCATGCGTGCAAGGCCATCACATGTCTGCAGACAGTAAACAGCTTTGCTCACTGAAGTGGGTGTCCTGTAGTAGGATCATGTGTTCCCATGTGCTTATTTTCTGTCCTCTCTCATGTGGTTCCCTCCTTATGTTCTCTTTTTTTGGACAGAAAACGTTTCTGGCATGTCTTTTTTTTTGTCTCTCTTTTTCTTTTTTTGTTGACTGTTGAACAGATTTAATGAAATCAACCAGTTGCACGCAGCAGAAACTTGAAGAGTATTTGCCTGGTTTCTGTTAACCAACCGAATGCCTTAGCCCCTTCCTTTCCACCTCTTCATCCTCTGCCCTCCTTTACCCACCCTTTTCCCCCACTGCACCTCCCTCCCCTCTCCCTCCTTCCCCCCCTCCCCCTCATTCCTCCCTAGTAATCTTCGTTAATGTCCTTAGCCGGTCGTACTATTTGGTGTTCATGCGTCAGCTGACCCACTCAGAAACTGGGTCACAGAGACGGCGTGGAGGGGCTGGAAAAGCTGTCTTTCTAAATCTTTCTTGTAAAGCTTTCTTTCTTCTTGTGTCTCCAGCTCAGTTTTTTTCTTCCTCGTTTCATTTATAACTCACACTCGGCGCGTGACCTTGCTGCACTGAGAATGAATACTTTCATTCAGTCATTATCTGACTAATGTTAAGGCTGCAGTAATCCAGTGATATCAGAATTGCGGCTGTGATGAGGAACTTGAGTGTCAGCTGAAATAAAACCTTCACCTCCACTCTGACCCCCATTCTCTCGAAAAACAAGCATGATCACCAGGAAATGGGAGGAGCTGAAGTAGATGACGCCAACGAAAGCAGTGTGAACATGCTTGAATTTGCATGCTTGCCTTCCTGCTGCTGTTTGAAACTGGTATAGCACGGAGAACACTGTTTCAGTATTGTGCAAGATGGGGGAAATGTGGGAGTGGCCAAGACTGCACAGGGAGAGAAAGTTGGTGTGAATTCCTTTTTCTGTTGCAATGCCAGTTCTTTGACCTGTAGATATTTAAAAGTAATATACAAATGGTATATTCCCAAAAAGAGGGCGGCAGACAGAACATGGCCTTTGTTTCTATATTCTCCTAAATATATTCTTAGTTTCTCTGTTTTGTGATCCTCTACTGTTTGCTTTGTTACTCTGCAGTTAAATATTAAAGCAAACTCAACACTTCCTCCATCTGTTTCATATTAACACAGTGCTAGTATTTCAGGGGGTATAATCCCTCTACTTCCTTAAACGCGTCTATTGGAAACTTGTGCAGGAAGTTTTGACCTTTTTAAAAGCAGCTTAACACAGAGTGGAAAAAACAACAAATCTGAACTAATGAAGTAGGCGAGGACAGTATTTTTTGTGAAAGGTTGAGTGTGGAATGACTGAGGGAAATAATGCCGTGGAAATCAATATTGTGCAGAATTTCCATGATAATTTGAACCATTGTTTTTATTTATTCATACAGACTGCAGCCTCAGCTGAATACAATTCACAGTACGTGTCAACTACGTACTATTGGGGATCTTAATCTCAACCATGATTGTCTATTAGAAGTGTTTTACAGTGTTTTTTACATCTACTAGCGACGCTCATCTACCCTGCTGTCTGTGTCTCTCCTAAAAGACTCTGAAGAGGAAGGAGAAGGAGTACGAGCACGAGATGGAGCGTTTGGCCAGAGAGAAGATCGCTACGCAGCAGCGGCTGGCCGAGCTGAAGAACGAACTCAGCCAGTGCATGGACGTCATCGAGATCGACAGAGTCCTCCGACAGACCATCCAGCCGGAGGACGACCAGGCCTCCACGTCCACCGCCTCAGGTACACGAATGAGATGCATCAGCTCACATACATTATTTATTACCTGCATACCTGATACTCTCATACAGAACTAATCACAAGAAGTGCAACAGCAGATAAAGCTTTTTAGTAGTAGTGGTTAGTTTCAATTTCAGTCTCTCAGTGCACTTTCATGTAGACACCCAGAGTACACACACAGCATCGTTTCTTGGATTGTATCATGATGACTAACAGTTTCCTGTCTGGTCTACAGAAGGAGAAGACAACTTTGAGCAGGACATTGACGATGACGTCCCTGCTCCCATTCCTGCTCCCACGTCCCTCCCCAAACCAACACCTCCCATTTTACAAGCCCAGCCGCTCCTCACCCCTCACCTGTCAATCCAGCACTCCACACTGCCTCTCTCCGGAGTCCTGACCACGGCCTCGCCCTCTGTTCCCCCTCAAGCCATCGCCCCCGCTCCAGCTCCAGGTCCGCCCCCTCACCCCATGCAGCCCCAGGCTGTGCAGGTCCAGCCCACCGTCATCGCTCACGCCGCCGTCTCCCACCCCTCGGTCATCCAGGCGGTCAATCACGGCATGCCAGCCAATCACAAGCACCTAACCCACATCGCCCCGTCACCTGGCCCCACTTCCTCCACCCCTCAGCCAATCGCAGCAGCTCCAGCAGCCACCGCCACTCACCAGCAGATAGCCGCCCAGTCCATCGGACACATCACCGTCCACCCGGTGGCTCACCTGGGAGGCCCCCTGCCATCCCACCTCTCGACTCTTTACCCCCAAAGCGTCTCTGTCTCCCAGTCCACCATGGTGGGCCACATCACTCACACCTTCACCCATCACACCCTGCCGCACGTCCAGGCGAATCCTCAAGCTAACACTAATGGTGCCCAGGTGAACAGCGCAGCCGTGATGAGCCAGGGGAGCCCGTCGCTAGGGAAACCCACGGCAGTGCTGGCCCCCCACCCACAGCTGGTTGGACAGGCTGCCGTCCTCAACCCCGTTACCATGGTTACAGTCCCAACCTTCCCTGTCAGCACACTCAAACTGGCCTGAAAGAGTAAAAAAGGAGGGAAGGAGAGAAAGATTCAGAACTTCTGGATGAGTTTTCACACTCCTATCAATTATCAACAAAACAATGTTTTATGGACAACTTCTAAAGAATATCTCCAGAGATATTACGGTCACAGCTCCGTTAGTTTGCGAACAATAACATTAAAGCAGAGTCAGTGGGTCAGGCCATTGTTTGTGAAAATAAGACTGTGACATTTGTCTGCGCTGCAAAGACAGGAACTCTGTTTTTACCTTCCTTCCTTGCCTTCTTCTCTCCTTCCTTCCTTTACAACCAGAAGCACTAACATAATAAGCTCAGTTCACACTCAGGCATCAAGGATTTACCTTAACTATCCATTCACTCATTGAGGAAAAAAACGCATGAGAGAAAGAGAGAAAGAGAGAGAGAGAGTTGTGTGTCATTAGGCTGTTGCCATGGTAATACAGTATGTGCCCGTTTTTATATTCATGATGTCATGTGGGACATTCTGGTGGAATAATGTCACTGATGTGTTTGAGAGCAGAAGGAGGCAGCTCAGTGGTCTTACTGATCTTCATTAATTACACTCAGAGCTCTGATCAAGTGTGAAGTAGACCACATTACATAGTCCGCTAACTAGTTCACTTACTGATGCAGTTCTTTTCTTTTTCTTAGGACCACTGTAGGGCCTCGACAGGAAAGTTCCTCATTCATATGGCTTCTCGTTTCTTTTCCCTTTTTTACTTTTGCTCCCAGTCCTAGCACAGAAACGTGGTCCATGAAGTGTTTACTCCATCTTCCTTCCACATGAAGGTTCCTCACCATCGCACTTGGCAACAGTCAGATAAAACTAACAGTGCAATAATAAAACAGGGTCCAATCTTCAGTAGGTAAAAATAGACAAAAAGAAGAAAAAAAGACACAACCTGGAAGTCTTTATATGTGATTTCTCTTCTGCTGTCAGCTTCTGTCACAAGTGCCCAATTCAACAGCGGAGTTATTTATTCACTTCCCCCTTCTGGCTTTCTTTTTGGAGGGCGATTCCAAAACCGTAGAGTGTCCCTCCAAACATGGAGCAACTCCAGCAATGAGGGGCACGATTACAGGGGAAGAATTATGGCAATGATTGCTTGGTTTGCTTAACATACAGTCGCATCTGTTTTTACCGGCGTCGTGGAGAAGATATTGCACGGACTTTGGATTTTCTTGTGGTCATGCTGGATAAGAAAGTTGTCTGCTTATCACAAATGCCTAAAATGTGTGAGGTGAATTTAATATAAAGACAGGAAAGATGCTGGAATCCCGTTTTACTGCTCTCAAAACATTCAGTGACAGGTTTCCTCCTGTCGCCGTCATCGGTGATGTTCCCTGAACGCACTGCAGGGCGAAACAGGTTTTTCACCCTCTTCACTCTAATGCAACAGCTCCCTCTGCTGCCTCATCCCAGACATCGTACCGATGTTACTCACACACAAACACTTCGGGGCACAACACAAATTTCCTGCAGAGAAAAAAAAATGACGAGACGTGCCTCTTGACCTCGAAAGCAGTAGTTTTGACAATTCAAAATCTTAACTCGAGAAACGATCCTGACTGAAGTTTTCGTACTGCATTATATTACATACAGTATGGAACTTTGGTCAGGTGACAAAGTCCAACTGATGAGATCAGTGTGAGATGGATGAAAGCTCCAGAAAAGCTAGAAAGTGGAGCAAGAGTTGAGATTTTCTACTTTTTTTTTTTTTGTCAAACAAGAAGAAATAAATGTTTTTCTCACTTAGCGGTCTTCAAAAGTTTGGATATAGCACAAAAGAATATTTAAAAAAGACTGGAAGAAGTACTGTTCAGGCCTAAGCCTAAGTCTGCATTTTATTGGGAGTTTTGTGAAGAATAATTTGGCAGCGACATAATGTTTGACAAACAATATCAAAGCTAAAATCCTCTGCTCCAGTCCAGAAAATCTGTTTTGTTTTTTTACTTCAAAATGGAAAATGTGTTGTGTTGTGCCCACTCTTCTTTGTCTGTGTCTTTTTTATGTATGTGTGTGTGTGTGTGTGTGTGTATGTTCATGTGTGTTTATGTGCACATACTCAAAACGTTCATGGTTTCACCGCCTTCTTGCCAGCCTATACAAGTCGCACCATAACATCTCCCTTCAGTGTATGTGTATGTAGTCAATGTGGCGTGGATCTGCTCCTCGCCTCTTCTGCTGTTTCTGTATGTTACGTCTGTATATGTGACTGTATTCAATATGTTTTATATTCTGTACTATAGTTAATCCTACTGTACCTGTAGCATGGCTCTGTTTTTTGGTTATAGTTTACCCTGGTGCATGTTGGAGTGTGTCTGTGTGTGTGTGTGTGTGTGTGTGTGTGTGTGTAGCAAGCAAGCTATTTTTTTACACAGAGGTGATTTATGGTATGAGCCTGTTTGGGTGCTATCGTGTGTGCCTATACTCAGTTTTTTCTGAACACTGTGACAACTCTGGCAAAACACGAACACATTGAGCGAATGGAAGAGACAAAGATTAACTGTCCTAATTGTTTTTTTGTTTTTAAATGTTTTTAAGTTTTCCATTTTGTGAGTTGGACTGAGACATGGAGTGGAAAAAGTTTAAAAAAAACAAAAAAAAGTTGTTGCTCTTTTCTCGATAACACAATAATGTCTAATATTCAATTTAAGTTTTGTAATATTTGTATGTACGTATGAGAGTTTTGTAAATTTGTGATCGTATGCACGTTTTGGCATATGAGTATGTATCTTCAAATTTTCAAATGCTTGTTCCTTTTTGGTTTTGTTTTGCATGTAGATTGCTGTTTAGTTCCCTTTGTTTAAAGGTTTTGTTTTTCTGTTTATTTTTGGGACCATGTACAATACTGTATAACGTGGGCAGGATCTTGGACCTCATGCTACATTGATATTATATATGAATATAAAAACATGTTTTCCCTATGGAGAAAGTTTTAAGTTATATATCGCCTGTACACTTTGGGCTGCCTTTTAGATCTAACTGTCCACTGTTTAAGATAACAATGATGATAATGGATAAAACATATTAATGATGAAGAATTATGCTGATGAAATAATAAAGATTCTTAATAAATCTTATTACATTTACAACATATCTTGCTCCTGTGTTTAATGCTCTCGTGTTAACAGACAAAAAGCTTTTTTTATTGATATATTTTGACTTTATTGTCTTTACGAAACAGCAAAATTAGAGATTAAAAATACAAAAAACGTGACACACAAGTAATAAAACATGAAATGTGTAAACAGGAAATATGAAAATGTAGTTTAAATGTTTAAAACCCAACATCACTAAGTTACCCCTAGATGGCAGTGTTGCATCACTACGCAGGTTACTAATCAAGATGACGTCCTGGAACACATCAACAAGACAAAAGGAATAAAAGTAGTTAATTGTCGCAGCAGAGCAACTCGATCCAGCTGTGAGCCAATGTGACCTACTGAAGTGCTCTTGAACACAACACTGAGCCTGTGACTGCTTAAGGTTGGAACATGCTTCTCCTGGGTGCATGTAAGCAAGCATGCACAAGTCTTTTATATGCTGTTTGAGTGTAATGTTTTTTTCCTTTTGACAAGAGTTAGATTAGCCAGTTGCCATGCTTGATGCTCCTTTACAAACAAGCTACATTCACTCAAAAAACCCTTCCTGTGCATAGCTCCACAGAAACGTGTGTCCTTTGAGAACCATGATTCCATCCTCGCTCACTTTAAGTTGTCCTGTGGAGCAGCAATCAGACAAGGCTGAATGCAATATGGCTTTATTTTTTTTTACACAAACAGAGCCTCCTCTGTGTTCCTGGGCGCTCCTTGTTGGTCTCCTCTCCCAGAGAATTGTGGGAGATGATCAGCAGCCACCTCTCTGGCTGTGCTGCATCTGCTCCTGAATCCTCTCCAGCACCTCCTGCATCTTCCTCAGCTACAGAGGGAGGATGAATGAAAGAGCGGCGGTTACCTCTGTAACTGAATAAATGAATGAGTAAGGAAGTGAGAGAAACGTACCTCTTCGTCCTTCTCAAAGATGAGTCTATCCCTCTCGGTGTCAACAGCGGCCAGCGGCAGAGGAAAATCTGTCTCGCTCACCTCTCGATGCTTCTCACGTAAACTAAAACCCATGAGCAGATGTGAGCATCTATCTCAGCAGGACTGTAAGCATGTGTTCAATCAATCAATCAATCAATCAATCAATCAATCAATCAAACCGCGTCGACTCCACCCACCTGCGCTTCCTCTCCTGCACCACCATGCGCGTCATGTTCTGGATGCACTGGGCCCTGTAGTTTTCATAGTGCGTGTCCTGCGTCACTTCTTTTAGGTCCTCCATGTGCGTCCTCACCAGCATGTTTCTCAGCAGTAGGAAGTCGGAGTGAGCCGGGTCCTCCACTGGCCAACGCATAACAACGTGTTAGTGGATCACTCTGGTCTACATTTTTCTAACTAAAAATTTCAATCTAATTTTGTGTGTGTTTGTACCTCCTACCACACCCCAGGGATAAGCACGACCCCTGAACTTGCGCCCTTCACTCTCCACCTGAACATTACTCCCAATTACTGCAAACGGGATGCTGTCCTGCAGAGAGAACCAAAAACAATAAAACTGTCAGTCGTAATTTCTATATGGCATATTTGAACCACGAGAAATTAATGAGACAGCTGATGAACCTTGAGTATCTGGTCCTGTCTCTTAAAGTCTTCGTCCTCATCTGAATCACAGTCGGGAAACTGGTAGATGTTGATCCCAAACTGCTTGATCTCCTCTATGATCTAGAGTACGTGAACACAGTAAAAAATAATGTTTGAGAGAAACAGAGAAAAATTGGACAGAGATTGGAGGCGTGATCTCTCCCTGAAGAATCCACAGAAACACTGAGACTGATGAGAGTTGATGTTAACACCTAACATAAACTGCTAACACTGTTTCAAAGTTGTGTTATGCTGCTGATTTCAAATGTTACAAAGTCACATTCAATGACCGATCTTTGTTACTGACTTAAGTTGCATTATGGGAAGCAGATATCATGTTTTTGGATCCATGATAGGAATCAAAAGTCGGGATATCTCGGCATCTGCTCTGTTGTATTGATAAGAGGCCAGAACATTAAAAGACATTAAAAGACATTAAAAAACATTATACCTGCTTCACATAAGCATGTTAGCATTGTCACTGTGACCCACTACAGCCTCACAGAGCTAGCATGGCTATAGACTACCTCCTATGGAAGAGCATCATTAAATCACTGAAGTACTCTTTAGTACATTGGTTAAGTTAATACAGCAAACAACTTGTGGCTTCAGCCTTGTGTCTCAGTTTGGGGCGGTGGTGCAGTGGTGTGGTGTGTGTGTTAATGATCTCGTACCTTTATCTTCTTTTTGTAGACCTCTGCTTTTGTCAGGCTGTCAGCTTTGGCCAAAATGGGAACTATGTTGACTTTTTCATGCAGGGCCTTCATATACTCCACATCCAGAGGTCGAAGACTGATGGGAGAAAAACACACATGTATGTGTTTATACATACGGATTTATATATATATATATATATTGAACAACCTTTAGGTGAGGCTGTTGCAGTAAGTGTTTAGTTTAGCTTCATGTGCAGAAGTAAAACATGTCAGCGTACCCGTGGCCAAATGGAGAGATGAAGTAGAGGCAGCAGTGGACTCTGTTGTCCTGGATGTTCCTTCTGTTCAACCCACTCTCGTCTCTGAAGTACTGTTCAAACTGCTGGTCAATGTAGTCTTCTATTTGCTTCCAGCTGTTGCAAACACATAAGATTTCTGTGACAGTTTGTAACGTGGACTATTTCAAAAGTGTGCGTTTGTTATGTCATGAGTTGAAGGCCTGGTTCAAGATGACCATGGAGTCTATCTATGCTATAATTTCAACCATGTCCAATAGTGCAGCGGTGCCGAGTCATGTCTGGGTGAAGCTGGTCTGAGTTTTCAGACGCTGCAGGAGCATGTTGATGACCTCACCTTTCTGTGTTGTTGATGGCGTCTCCGAACCCTGGTGTGTCTATGATGGTGAGCCTCAGTTTGATTCCTTTCTCCTCAATGCTAACTGTGTGTTTGACAATGTCGACTGTTTGATTGATCCGCTCTGCAGACACACACACACAGGCGACATCAGATTTTGCACCAGAACAATAATGTAGACCAGGTATCTACGTAGCCCGGTTCCAGCTACTTCAATAACATGGACCAAAGGTAAGTAAATAATAGAACTAATCTCACCCTGTGCATTAGGAACCTTCCTGTCTTTGTAGAGGTCCGTGAGGAACAAACTGTTGATTAGTGTGGATTTACCGAGGCCAGACTCCCCTACAGAGAGAAGAGAAGAGAGAGACTGCATAACTCGGATTACAGCCTCAATCAAACCTGTAAAACTGTCCCAGTTAGTAAACATATGGGAGGGCTCACCTGCCACCATAAGCGTAAATGTGAAACCTTTCTTCACAGTCTTTCTGTGAACCTGGTTGGGCAATGTGGCAAAACCCACATACTCCTTGTCATGATCCTGCAGAAAGGAAACACAAACATAACATGTATGTATGTGCATATTTATTTATAAGTAAGGATTAAATAGGTGAACTCAAATAATTTAGTTTCTAACTGTATTTTTTCATCTTTTTGCTGAAAACATCATTGAATGATGTCAGATTGTATTGCTTTTTAAAGGGCTAAGCCAAAATTGTTCAAATCAACTAAATCAGAAGATTTTGCTGCAGTCGATAGGCTAGCTATAAATGTTTTTATCATCACTATCTTGTTGCTACCAGACACAAATTCACAAAATGCACTAAATAATTATTTCCTGGGTATATACATGCATGTATATATGTATATAAAAAACTGTATATATAGATTTATTCTACTATTAATTTAATTATCTTTTTCTATGTGTGTAGCATGAAGGGACTACAAACTTTCATTTTGTTGTACAAATTTGTGTTGAGTTATGATAAATACATTTCCTTGATTCTTGAAATATTACAGTAAATACTGGGATATTATTGCAATTTCTCTTTCAATATAATTACACCATCTCCACTGCATCCTTCATGCTACAGTATTGACACATTACAGCATGCAATAGCATTTCTGTACAGAGTACAGGTCACACAAACAGGTGACAAAAGCATAAAATGTCAGCACTGCTTAAGTAATCAGTTATTGGTGGGGATCAATAACCCTGTGAAACCCCCACTGCTAAGTCGCCTGACCTGGACCCTCATCATGATCTCTGAGCATCATCTGCTTCACAGGTCTACAAGCTGCACTGAATTGCATCATGTTCCCTCTGACGCAGCAGCACCAGGGGACAGACTGGGTGAGCAGACAGCGGAGGAAACAATACTGTCCCTCATCTTCATAGCTCTGGTTTAACACTTGTTAACCACATTGACAAACAGCTCTATTTTGAATACAAAAGATGATGTCTGACCTTTGTGCCTGTCTATGCTTTCTCTCTTTCTTACGCTGATACACGAAGCAGCTGCAAACACTTGCAAGGCTGTCTGGCAGTAGGAGTAAAGGTTGTTGGAGGAAGTAGAGTAACAGGTCATTTTTTAGACATCTGGGTGTCAGAACATAAAGTATGGCTTCAGAATCGTGTGCAAAGGTTAGGAAACATAAAACAGACATTATGTAACTGAGGGGCTTTTACTTCTGACAACTGCAGTGGAAACTGTATACTGTCTTGCTACTCTAATGTCATTTTTAATCATTTGCATGCTCTATTTGACCAAATTTAGTAGTTTATTATGCACTGTTATATTGAGATTAGATCATTTGAAATATATATTTATTATTCTTGTATCATGCTTTCAGTTGTTTTGTATGTTTTTACTGTTTCTATGAATATACGGTATATTGGTTTTTCAATTTATAATTCAGATCTTTTTTTAAATCAGGGGTTCAATTCGGCTCAGAGATGATTGTTTAGTTGTTTCGCTTCCATCTTTTTGTTTTTTATTTGGGGATGTATTTGTTTATCCATATAATGTCTTATATGGAATAAAAAACAATGATATTCCCACAAATATTGTTAAATTTTCCATTGACATCTTTTCAATCTCCAAACACTCTTCAGAACCTGACGACTGACATCAGACAATAATACACACTCATCATAGAAGAACAAAAGCACACAGAAAACACACCTCTGGAGCGTCGTAGGGGTCAAAGCGACTCCAGGGGCTTTGTGGACGCGAGACCGGGCTAGACGGACAGTCCATAGACACCTGAGAGACGAGCTGCCTCCTCAGCAGCTGGGGCTGAAACACTGCGTCCGGTCTCACGCGATTTGGTCGGGGAGGGACTGTTGGAGAGCCAGCAAGGGGGCAGTGACGGGGCAGAGAGGGGGTCCGGGGAAGGCTGGGGAGTCTCCCGTTGGGTGCTGTCCCAGTTCCCTCTGCCTGGTCTCTCTGGTGCTGTTCACCAGGCTGAGAGACGGGAGGCAGATCCCTCATGGCGAAAGGAAACTGAGTGTCCTCCTGGTCCTCGATGGACAGACTGGACAACTAGGACGGTGGGCAGCAGAGTTACACACGGTTTTATATGGACGATGAAAAATAATTCACTTTTAATCAGTCTTTCCTATTTGCTATGTGAGGACTGACAGGTGGAGATGAACAAGCTTTAACCGATAGGAGAATTGACCTGCAACGCATGTAAGTTAGTTTCACGCTGGCACTCAGGTGAGATTAGGGAGAGGGATTGGAAAGCTGAAGAAATGTCAAACCCTGCAGTGGCTGCACTCAGCTACAAACACAATGCCGCTGCAGTTCGCCACCTATTGTTCCAGTCGAAGGCCCCTCTAACCATCAAGAAGTAGATAACTTTTAAATACGGAGTCCAAACTGAAGGACAGACAGAAAGCTAACAAGAGCACGGAAACTTTAAAATCTGCTGTTAATCAGAGGAAATCAATAGGCAAGGTCTCTTCCTTTGTGAGCAGTTCAATCATTGCAGTAACAATGGATTATTATTCCAAGCAGGACACTAATAAGTCAAGGTTTTGCAGTTTAACTTTGACTTAAGTGTTTTTCCCCTCAAATGTCTGAGTATAATCTATGAATGTCACTACAGAGAAACAGTACCTGGCTGCTGGTGGCCTCAGTCAGGGCCATGCTCTCTCTTCTATGTCTTTTTGTTGTAGTGGCTGACTACACCCTTTCTCCACTGATTAGCCCTGAACTGTGATCCCATTAAAGCTGAGGCCTTCATCCATCTGTCCAGGCAGGGTGGGGAGACGGACAACAGACAGACTGGAGTCGGAGGTTAGTAAATACTAGGGTCAAACTGGATACACTTAACTAGTTTTGGGTTTTTATAAGGAGCTTTCTTTCAGTATGGAGCTTTTGTACAAATAACTATTGGCTTTGGTCACCTCGCAGGTAATTCCCCCACAGAATGACTCTACCATGAGCAGCTAGGACAGCCGAGCCTCTACATCTGCTTTAGAGGAGATACACATTTTCTCCAGTCTCACATTGTCCCGTTGACTTGGTCTGAAGACAGCAGGACAACACAGCCCACAGTGCTGCCGGCCTGATCTGGGTTCATCTGGTGTCCCTCTACCTGTCAGCTCTCATTACCCACAAAGCTTTGCAGCAGGCTTAATCAAGCTTCTAATGCTCTGACAGGGTAAGGGGGTGGAAGGGTTTGGAGATTTAACTCCAACAAACACACACACAAGCTCTAAACGCTATCATTAAAGACTCGTCTACAAACTTCTCCTACCTCCTTTTCTGAGAAAGTTGCAGCTTTTTTTGGGAGCAGACAGGAAAGCACATATAAATGCGGGTAAAATGTATAGTTTGTAAAAAAGAAAATACAAATGTAGAAAGACTCAGTTGCATAAGCTGGATGATGAGAACAGAAAACTGTGGTACTATTATATTATAATACTATATATTATTATTGGTCCTTGCACTATAAACAAGTAAAGTGTTACTATACCCTCTTGATATCAATACACAAAACTTTAAAATAAGATGTAAGTTTAGTAGAGAAAACACTGGCCAAAAATGGGCTATAACAACAATCTCACTTCAATACACTGACAGTAGTGAGGTAATAAAAATATATTAAATAAGTTGCAAGAAGATCAACATGAAAACAAGAATAAAGGTACAATACACAAATTAATGAATGAATATGAATATAAAGGGCGACTATAGTGACCTAACAACAAATAAACCCCCTAACAATAGTTGTGCATAAACACAGGTGTTGAGTGTTGTAGACCTACCTCTCTTACTGCTGCGGAACCGGACCGGAGAGGACATGTGCTCCATTAATGCTGCTGCTCAAACTGACCCACACCAGCACCGGCAGAAAAAATGGATCAAGTACAACGTTAAAGGTGGCGAAAACTGTAAAACTACACGAGAACTAATAACATGTGGTGTGAGGCATGATGTGTGTGTGTGTTAGTGTGTTAGTGTGTGTTAGTTAGTGTGTGTGTGTCCATGCATCAGACTGAGCTCTGGGCGCCGCTCTGACGGGCTGTTAAGTACCGGAGAGTGTAAACCAGGCAGCAGCTAGTGGACCGGATCGCACGTCGACGTCGCCGCCTTATTGGACCTGGCAGGACGGGTCTGTAAACACATAGACGTAAACCGGGGAGCTGCGGGTTGTCTGGATACAAATGCACTTTATATTTACATTTCTCAACCGATTTCGTTGAGGCGTGCAAAGGTTTTATGAGTGGAAGGGAGTTTTGTCTCCAGTTTTTCAGAATTTAATGATAGTTAATATAGTTATAGGCCTAAAAGCAGCCATAAACTAATTGTTATTATATTTATAATCATCCTAATGTTATATATACATACACTCGGTTGAGAAATGTAAGCGTTATAGTGCTTTGTATCAAGCAAAACCCGCAGCTCCCCGGTTTACTTGTATTTGTTTACAGGCGACGTTGTATCCTAGCAATATGAGCTCAGTACAGGATGTCAACAACAACAACAACAACAAGAGCTACTACTAATACTAATACTAATAATTTACAAAAATACAACTATTATTCTTTATTCCTCCACTGTAACAGCTCAAGTAAGCTGCTCTTTACGGTAAACCAGACCAGAAGATGAACCATAAATCTCACCTTTGTGGCGGAAAAAAACAACATAAAAGAGTCCGTACAAACAGTTTTAACCACTGTTTCAGCTTTATTTCTCCTTTATCCACTTGTATGTATTTTTCAAACACTAAAATTGAACTGTTACATACACAGTGTGCTGAAACAGGCCAGCTGTCCCACAATGAGCTGTGAATTGAGGAGTATTTTCTACATACTGACCATAGCAGAGGCAGAATTGAGACGTAGCTATGTGTTTTAGTGTAGTTAGATATGTTTTATTTGTTTATTTGTTTACTTTAGAATGTTGCAGTGTTAGTGAGCTGCAGACATCGGGCTAGGTTAGCCAAAAAAGGTAAGCTAAAAAAAACCAATTTTAATATTTTTGTATGTGTATAATAATGAAAAATAACTTTAGAATAAACACAAATAACAGAAATCTAACTTTTTTGGGTGCCTTTTCAAATTGAGCAAGGAGGCACGGATGCTTAGCCAATATTAGCGTTAGCTGTGTGACTTTGATGTATAACTAATCTAAATTTACAGCTATATTTTGTATATTTTTGTTAAATTGTATTATCTAAAATGTTGTCAAGCCTACAGGAGGTGAGTGGTTGATACCTGGTTCATACTGAGGTTTTCTGTATTTCTTTTGTACTCTCTAAGCTTTAGGTGAAATACAAAGTGCTACCTTAGAAAAGAACTACATTTAATCAAGTTTGATAATCAAGTACATTTTACTAAGGTACGTTAAATAGTGAATCATTTAATGTTAGTCACATGCATGAATTTATTTTTCTCTTTATTAAATTAACTATTAGTTCAAACAGTTGTAGTTCACAGCTCAGTGTGTGTGTGTGGTCTGAAATGTTTCAACAGAAAATACATAAGGCATTGTGATAAATAATAGACCCATGCAATGTAGCTTAAAGTATAAAGTGCCACGTGTTTCACAGCTTCCAGACAAAAGTTGACACTAGAGCCCAACTAATACCAAAACAAAACAGGTCGGCCAATTTTTAGCTTATCTTAAGATACACTTACAGTATATTGTTATAGATGTTGGCTGATAAGTAAAGAGATGTTGTTGTAAAGAAATACCAAAGACTTGTTTGAGGTAATCTATAAACTGGGTTATCATTACATAGAGTAATTCTGAGGAATTTAAATAATTGGATAAGGCAGTGGTTCCCAACCTTTTTCATTGAGGGACCCCTTTTTTATCATTTAGTAAACTGACGACCCCCTTACATATTGTATGGATATATTTTATATTCTATTAAAAACTGTATAGTTAACCCAAATAGTGAGCTCAGTAACTGTAAGAAGTTTGTATAAATGAGGAGTTTGGATACATTGTGAGATTATTTCCTGTTCAGGGAACTTTTTATAATTATTATACCATTTTTCTGTCTGTATTATGCAGCTTTTAGCAATCATACAGACTTAATAGGCTTTGACAAATTCAGTGTTTTCTCATCCCTAGCGCTTGGCCATTGTTCTTATTAAACAAACTTTTCTTCACAGAAGTGAACCAAATGTTGCGATAAAGGTCTTCTGTTTATATTTTTAAAGTTTTCTCACACGCCTTAAAATCAAGAAGGCCTCGTGACCCCCTGTGAAGCTTTGGTGACCTCTAGTGGGGGTCCTGACCCCCAGGTTGGGAACCACTGAGTTAAGAGATGGGTATCGACTAAATCCAGTATTGGTTGGGCTCTAGTTGAAGCCACATAAATACTGGTTCACAGAGCAATATGAGACTAATTTAATGTGTGGCAGTTGCTATTAAGCTGCATACAAATCTTTACTGTTTTTCATGAAAAATATCCCACATCAGTCTAGTTTTATTCCTCTGCAGATTTTCCATGTGTTAGTCCTCCACATGCAGCTTTAGGACTCAGGACTTCAGTTCTCTCCCAATTATGTATTTGAAAAGGCACAAACGTCTTTATTCAGTTTTTTTAATCCATCAAAACTGGGCTTTGTAGATGTGTCCTGTCTTGGCCGTTGGATTAAGCAGTTAGAGGAAAGAGATGTCCTCTTTTGTTCCATCCCACAGCACTTTGCATGTCCTTCTGGGCCTGTTGGACCGGCCTAGCAGCGAGTTGTTGACCTGCGGTGGTTGTGAGAGCTTGTGCTGGGCTTTCGGTTCTCCTGAGGGGTTATTGTGTTCATATGTTTCAGACTCACTCTTGCTTGATTCTGGGCTTGTAGACCTGCAACACGTTTGACTCTTGTTTTGCGAGTGGTTGTTACAATCTCCGCTCAGGTCTTCATGCTTAGTCCTCATGTCATGGTTGTCATGCACGTGTTGCTCTCCGTCCGAATGGCTGTCAGGTGTGCTGTTTTGGTCTTTGCTCTGAGTGAGGTGATTTGGCTCAATGTGATTATTTGCAGTGCCTGACTGTCGTTCGGGATCGGGGCTCTGTCTCTGTGGCTGTGAACAGTGGGTTTTTTCGTGAGAATCAAGGGTCTTGTCCTGGTTGTGAAAGAGGTTTTGGTGGTTGTGATTCTGCCAGAAGGCCCTGCGGAGCTGCTCTAACTCAGAGAGTAGAGGCAGACCGATGTCCAGGTGCATCAGCAGGTTCTCCAGCCACTCCTCCAACTTCGAAAAGGAAGGACTGAAAGAGTAGAAGAGTTGTAGTGATGAGAGGTTGTACAGTCTTACATTCTCTACTGCAGTAGTGTATTAGTTAAATATTTAGGACACTATTTGGCACTCTATTAGTTGAGTTTGTTGTGTAATTCATTGCTTGGTTCAGTATTGGATGTAGCCCCTAGAGCTCTGCATAAAAGCTGTATGTGTGCTCATACATCAGTTGATACAGTAGACATGGTACACTGTACATCGACTAACCAGAAATAATGTCACAACTATCTGACTGCGGTTAAGGTAGCGGATGATTGTAAAAATATTTTGTTAAGCAATGTCCTTTTCAACATAACACTACCACAGCACTTTCACACCATCAGGTGGAGTTTATAAAATTAGACCAAACACCCCCAACCCCCTGACTATTTGTTAAATTTGAAATAGTGGTGGTGTGGCCTACACCGATCAGTCCTAACATGTTATGCAGCCCGATACCAACAAACTGCAATGCACTGTGTGTTCTGACACCTTTCTATCAGAACCAGCATTAACTTTTTCAGCAGTTTGAGCTACAGTAGCTC